CGAAATGTTAGTCCTCTCTCCTAACTCACATGAGACCATCTACGTACGTCAACAGCCAGCTGTGGAAAGACCCTCTCAACACCGATCAATGGGCGAGGCAGCCAACACCTCTTGCCGAATTTAGAGACACACAGAGGAATCGGTACGGGACCTCCTTCACCTATCACATCTATATACAACGCACCGCTAGAAGAGCCAAAATAGGGAGAGATGGTTAGGAAATGTCATAAACCCTTACAGGATTATGAGGTTGGCTCCCCCCCCCCCCCCCCCCCCATCACTTGATCATTCACAAACTACCATCAATTCAGCCAACTTGACAGTATATCATATTTCCTACTTTGTTAATTATGAAAATTTTAGCCCTACTCACAAAATCTATTTAGCAGCCATCACCTTAAGTGATGAGCCAAAATATTTCTCACAAGCTGTACAGGATCTAAAGCGGAGAGATGCAATGCAAAAGGAAATTACTGCCCTGGAACTAAATAACACATGGACTCTTGTCAAATTACCATCCGGGTGAAGGATCGTGGACTCCAAATGGGTTTATAAAATTATATACAAACCCAATTGCGATGTTGAATGTTACAAAGCTCGACTGGTTGTAAAGTGTTTCACTCAAGTTGAGGGCATTGACTTTCATGAAAAATTTGCACTGGTTGCCAAACTCATTACAGTACGATGCATGTTAGCTATTGAAGCTAAGTGTAATTGGATTGTACATTAGTTGGACATTAATATCATTTTTCTTCGTGGTGATCTATCTGAAGATGTTTATACGGATTACGAAAGTTCTCTCGTAATTGGTAAAAAAATCACTGAGACTCTCACCGGTATCGGTTCAAACACCCAAATACTCTCAGATGATCATAGCCAAGAACTTTTTCAAATAACATTTTGTATGAACTTTTATTAGTAATGATAGGAGATGGAAGCCTATTTATGATGTAAACGGCACTCAAAATGTATCCCCCCAAAAGTCGATAGGTAACCCAAACTGAAAATGAAGTGCTCTTGCAATTTCTAAAATGTGTCTATGCTTTCGTTCTACAATTGCAGTTTGTTGTGTTGTGTCTGTGCGTGACGTTTCCAATAATATCCTAGTATGTCTATAATAATCAAATAAATTTTTTATTTGAAATTCCACTCCGTTATCAGTCCGTATACGTTTAACCTTTTGCTCAAATTGAGTATTAACCACGTTGCAAAATTGAATTAGAAGCTCAAGAACCTTAGATTTATTTTTCATTAAATAAACCCACACACCTCTAGTGTGGTCATCAACAATAGATAGGAAATATTGTGCATCAGAAATTGAATCACATCTATAGCCTCCCCATATGTCACAACGTATTAGTTCAAAACAACGAGTTGTCTTAATGGTGCTTACAGGAAAAGATAGTCTAGTTTGCTTAGCTCTTATGTAGAGATCGCAAAGATCGTTGCTCCGTCTTAGGCCTTTGAGAAAATCAATGTGATGCAGTTTCCCATCAGATGCATGTCCAAACGTTGATGTCAAAAATCGGAGGTAGTACAAGCTGACATTGCCACCCCCTCACTTCACGGAGACACTAGATAGTAGATACCATCACTGAATCTACCCACATCAATCAATTTCATCGAGGTTATGTCTTGTAAAACATAGAAGTGTGGGGAAAATGTGAATGTACAGTTTAGATTGCTTGTTAGGCGACTAGTCAAAAGTAAGTTGCATTGGAAATTTGGAATAAATAAAACATGTTTAAGAAGAAACTCATGGGTAAATATAAACTCCCAACGACATGAACTGGAACTAATTCACCGTTAGAATTTCTAACTGGTGGTATCGGCGCATTGTTGGCAATATTAAAAAGATTAATGTCACTACAAGTGATATGCTCTGTAGCTCCTGAGTCAATAATCCACGAGCGAGCATGTGACAAATATATTTGTCATATTCACTTGAGCACCAGAAGAAGAGGGATTCATAGCTTCATGATCATTGGCTTTAATAGTTACATTGCAACCGTCATAGCTTAGCCACAAGAAAGAAAATGATATTTTTATATGTGAGACTATTTGAAGAGAGAATTCTAAAATGAGAAGGCAATGTTGTCATGTTTATTAAACCTCTCACAGAGTATATATAATGTAATACATATGAAAAAAAACAAAAACACTATGCATGGATCATGCAAGAACATGCAACCCATGTGGCTATGTATCCAGGGGCGTATCTACTGTGTGGGCAGGGGGGCAGCTGCCCCCACCCAACCCCATTATATATACCAAATTTTATTTATGTATATATAATTTTCTTATGTGTAGTATAAGAGTGCTTAAAATCCAAATTGAACAAAATTAGCGTAGTGGCCAATTGACTGAAGCGCTACTTGTTCTTCCTGTGTGTGCAAGGTTCAATTCCCCATAGCTTCCATTTCAGCTTGAATTTTATTTTTGCCATTCTAAAATTGTTTAAAATTTGTTCAAATTTAAATTTTTTTTAATGTAGCTAATAAATGATACATAGTAGTATAGTATTACATCGTCTACGTATTACATATGTAATTTTAATAACATCTTTTCACACTTATTATTAAAACTTGATTATTTGCAACTTAAATCACTTATAATTACATATTTCATCCACTTATATATATATATATATATATATTTGGTTTTTTATTTAATAAACTATAGAATGTGTAAACCAAATATCCAAATTAGTTTAAAATAATTTATTTTAATTAAACTAATAATTGATGTGTAATTTCAATCACATTTTTTGGACTTAGTATTAAAACACACTTGTTTATTTGTTACTTAAATTAGTTATAAACTTATAATTACATATTTCATTTGTTTCTTATAAAAATTTATTTTATTTTTAATTAACCTTCGATTTTTAATCAATATTTGTTTCCTAAAATTTGTGTGACAACGTTAGTGTAAATTTATTTTTAAAAAATTTAAAAAAAGTTAGTGTAAATTTGCCCCCACTCGCTGAATTTTCTGGATACGTCATTGTTAATGTATCCCAACAAATAAACACTACATATGAAAATAATGAGAATTGGATAAATATCAATATATTCCAATAAAGTGTGGTAAGTATTTATAATGTAACACAAAAAATGAAAGTTAAGTATTCAAAAGTTGCAATATTTAAAGATAGAGAACAAAACACTATAATAGAGAACCAAACATGTAAATTTTGCCCTTGGTAACCTTCGTTGGTTGACAAAACTTAAACGCCTAATACTACCCAAAAACGGACTTCTCAGAGTGCTAAAATGAGTCTCAATCCTTCTTTTATTTGACATGACATCCTAAATTTGGTAATTTGGGTAGATTTGAGTATATTTTGGTAGAGTTATGTAAAAGGCAGTTCCATTTTTGCATACTCACACCCATTCTTTTAAGGATGTGAAGACAAAACCCCCTAAGAGCGTCTTGTAAACCAATGATTAGATTTGGAGATCCAAGCAATTAGGCTGCAAGATAAATCACTAAACCCAAAGGTCCAAAATTTGTTTCTTTAGACACAAGACGAAGAGTAAGTGATACTACATAATCTTTGGTTTGGCACCAAGAAGCTGGAGAATATTGACAACCAGTCTTAGGGGAGCTAGTCAAACATGAATGTTTCAACTAAGGATGACGTTTCGAGCATTCCTCGAAGCAATGAACTAGTGAAGCGATGACTTGTGGTGGATATATATAGATAAGTCAAAAGGTATTTGCGGCATAACTATGTTAGCGATAGATGCTTCGAGCAATTTCATTTCAGTCATGAGAGTCGCTCATGAGGCGAATTGGACACCAAAGGAAGTTGAGACAATGGTAGTTTAGGAAACAACTACAGTTAAACAAAAATAGACGAGAGTTATTATAGAAATAGATGTTGATAGAGCTCGCTAGTTTGGGGTTGTAAATGGAATCCGATGACTCCTATTTTGATTTAATCATTAATGATATTAGACAAATGCTTTCTTCAATCAAGCACTCAACTATGTTAGATGATCTACGAACCAGACAACTCATAATTTTGCTAGTTGTGGTGGAGTAAAAAAAATCGATTTGAGTGGTCGAAACTTAACTAAATACAACATAAAAAGGATATTTCGCTTTTAAACTGTGTCTAAGTTGAACTTTTCATATGCAGCTAAGATAATGGTAGTTTAAATGAAATCAATAGAGTTGGATTTGATATATATGTCATATAAATTATAGACTTCACGTGAGTAATAGAGAGAGAATTAGACGCTATTTTAAAATTTTAGACTAATCAATATTGCACATCAAATTTTACTCGTTTCAAATTTATATAGTGCCGATTTTTCATTAGTCATAACTTTTTACTCGTAATGAGTTACAAAGTTATAATATATCAAATGAAAGGTATTTCACTGTTTTATATTCTCAGTCTTTCAGGTGGTCAGCTGACCCCCGGCTCCACCCTTGTTTGGTAAGGCCATCTTTGCCAGATTGTAGGGAATGTTTACTTCCACTTGAATATACTCCATCCCATCTCTTAAAGCTTGACCAAGTTTAACTATCATGGCGTATAATAAAGTAGAAAATGCATGATTGATATTTGTACAAATGAGAGAGAAATAATAAAAGATCTAGAAAAGAAAGAACAAATTTACTCTGACCTGGAGTATCCTGTTCAAAAAGAATTAAAAGTCTCATATGACTTTGTTGTGGAGTCACATGAGGTACTTTGGCACAACTATCAAAGCCCATATTTTATTTTTTATGGGGACCCCCACTAAAAATATGAGTGTTTATGGATTTACCATATTACCTCATATGATTGAGTAGTCATATGGGTTTCATAAATGTACTCGTATGTTGTCAGTGATTTGCTTAATTAGTACTCCATATACGATGTTTGATTTTAAAAAGTGGAAAAACTAGTCATACTATTTAACATTGAGAGCTCGTTTGATAATATTAAAAATTGGTTGAATCAACTTATTCTAGAGAAATTTATTAAGTTATAAGGTTGGATACTTGGATTAGCTTATTCCATGCCAAATCTAAATTTTGTTACTAAACAGCATCTAAATTTTGTTGGGAACAAAAGAATCCATGAGAAATTGGAACGATACCGCATGATGATCCGGGTTCTGAGAGAGGAAACTCACCCCCTCATGGCGTCACGGTTCCTTCCATCTCTCAGTTGACGCATTACATTGTGTGTGCTTGTGATTTCACTCGACGTCGACACTGCTAAGTGCTTGAACCCACACCAGTTCGAAGAGAGCGAGTTTCCGGCGGGATACCAGCCTGGAGTCATCCTTCAATGCCCGATAGATTTATCTGTAAAGGTTATATTAAAGGCGCTGAAGCGAGTGCGAGGAGGAGATGAAGAGCGGCGGAGGAGGAGGCGGCAGTCAACCTTTCTCTGTTCCGCCCGGGAAGAGGCGGTGGAATTTTCTGGTGGTTGCTGTTCTATGTCTCGTGTTTCTTTCAATGCTCGTGCCTCTTATATTTTTGCTCGGATTACACAACGGATTCCATTCTTCCCCTGGTACGAATTTTCTTTCGCGTCTTCTATCCTTCAACTAGATCTGCAAGTTTTTATTAGTAAAATATGATTAATTTTTAGCCGCACCCAAATCCACTTCCCCCTTGATGTATTTGTGATGATCCGAGGAAAGCTATGCAAGTTATACGTCTTCAGTTTCATTTGCTTACACATTTTCACCACAGCACGATGAAGCGCTTTTTAAACTTTAAAGGATCTTCACTATTGAAGGCGATCTTCACTATTGATGGAGAATTCTCACTATAAAATTCAAAGGATCACATATCCATTTTTCTTAGTATAAAAAAATCTAAAAGGACAATCATACACTGATACACTTCCAGCTTAGATTTGTGGATAAAACATTCCTTAAGGACCTTAACGTACCTGCTGTTTGATTTGCAGGATATGTTCCAGAAAAACATAGTCCATTTACTGTAAGTAGTATTGGCAATTTTTATTGTATGATATTATTATTGACGTTCAGTTTTTCGATCGTCATTAGTTACTCATACTTGTACTTTTTCGTATATCGGGATTCCTTATACCAGAAAATGGTTGATGTTTATGCTCAACAAGAAGCTAATGTACCTAGAAACCAATCAGAGGTAAGTACATTTTGCAATGCATTCATAACAAGTTTATTTTTATCAAAAGATGATTTTGTAAATAACTAAATGCATAAAATTGCACTTCTTCCTCTCTGTCTCATAAAAACTTAATCATTCCCGCGAAAGGACTCCAATGCTTTTATTTTCATGGTCTTGTTGCATATTGTTGCAGGGAAAGCAATCTAGCCATATAGATGATGTTATAAGAAGATTGGAACCTACTTTTCCTAAGGTTTATTGCTCACTACATTTGTGTTTAATCTTTTGTTACTTAAAACTATCTGTAGCTGATTTGTGCCGTAGTTCATTTGTTTATCTATAATCTTCATGCTGATAAAGTAGTAGTTTCCCCAGTTGGAAACTTATGGATTAGAACAATGGATGTTGAAAGTTTTTATTACAAAATTTACTTCTTAGAGTAAAAGGCATTTACGTAAGATTAGGCATTATAACAAAGAGAGTGATAAAATAAAATAAGAGCAAACAATCAGAAAAGTGAATAGTGGCTTAAATCCCCAAAAGTAAATTGTTCAAAACCTGCGTGTCAGCCAAAAGTAGATAGGTAAGAAGTATATTTGTAAATTTGTAATTTGTGGTGTCAGGCCAAGCACAAAAGGGTTTACCAGCCGCTGGTAAAGAGAGGAAAGTCAGGAAACAAATTAGAGAGAGTAGAGAAAAAGAAATCTAGATTGAGAAAGATCTATCGCTGCTTGTTTAGAAACAAGACTTTCCTCGTATAGGACTAAGGTTCTTTCTAGCGCCGGCCACTGTGCCCATGGGCACTTGATACTAATTAATTAATGAGTAATTTAATACTTCAAGACTTCTAGTTTTCCTTTTCTTAACATATCTTTGATGAATGTGACAATGGTCTTAGTGATAGTTGTATTGCTTCTTGAATTTGATTTTATGTTTCCATTGATATTTTATATATTTTTATAAAACATGAAAATGAAAAACATTAGTTGTTCCTTATCACGTGCTCATAAAGAAAAACTATTGGAATAGGAAAGCCATGGGAATTATACCATATTTTTTTCCTTTGTTGGTTATTGTATAATGTATATAGAATAGTTATATTTTTACATCTAGTAAAAAATCTAGTTATACCTAATGCTCACCTAGCGTTTGACCTCATTAAGATTTTGATGACTCATCATTTGGCCATTCTGTTAACGAAAGTGGAGCCGACACCAGAACTAAACTTTAGCCGTTAGGCATAATATTTGTTTCCCGCACATATCTTTAGCTTGTAACATGACACATATTTCCAGGATTTTCAGAAGAGCATTGTTAAGGAAGCTGAGAACAAGACTACTATTGGTAGGGTGAATGACTGTAATCTTCTTTCGGCCTGTGTTGTTGTTGTTCTATTTATCTTTGCATAAAACAATGTGTTATAATTTCTTCTATGCGGTTTCTCTGGTCTCCTGTTTCCTTGCATAGCAATATGGATTGGACTATTCCTATTCTCCTTTCCCCTTTTCCCTTCTTTTTGTTTACTCTTTTTGTATTATTTGCAAACTGTTTTTTTATTCACAGGTCCTCCATTGTCACTTGATATGCCTAAAGAACAGCCAAAGGGAGGTGTATGTATTTCTTGAATAGCTATCAGCTTCTTTTTCCAACTAAATACGAGTTTTTGGAATTGGACATTTTTTCTTGGTAAATTATGATCTCTTTTTTTCACGCAGAGCAACAAGTCCAGTGATGTCAAACTGAAGAATACTGAGGAGGGTATAAAGTTTTGTGAATTAAAATATGGAAGCTACTGCTTGTGGCGTCAAAAGAATAGGGAAAAAGTTAATGATTTCATCGTGAGAAAAATGAAGGACTTGCTATATGTGGCTCGAGCGTATTATCCCAGCATTGCAAAGCTTCCAGCTCAGGACAAGTTCTCACTTGAAATGAAGCAAAACATTCAGGATTTTGAGCGTGTTCTTAGCGAGACAACTGTTGATAAGGATCTTCCCTCCATGTATGTTTGCATTCTGTTCTTCTCTATTATAAATCAGAACTTTTTCCATATATTTGTCTCACAATGAATCATGACATTCAGAACTTTGAGTGTGTCTTTAGTTCAACTGCTGTTAGTAATGATGGTCTCATTGTATTTTAATTTAATTTCTACAACTTATGTGCTTATTCAGTATGGAGATTACGCTGTAGCACTCTATTTACTTTTGAGGATGAAGATGTTCTCGTTGTATTTTCATTAAAATTCTCAAACTTATGTGCTTATATCATGGTCACATACTTCGCAGAACTCTTCGATACAGGAATGTGGTCGCTAGGTTTAGCATATCTGGTTTGGAGGGGGGTAGGTTCATTTTGGTACACAATCGGTACGTTGTACCTTATGTTTTGGTACCTATAATAAAACAGAAATACAGATTTCATAACATTAAACAAAAACAGATTTCATAACATGATTTCATAACAATGAACAGAATCAGAAACATTTGACTCAAAACTGAAAAACGCAACCAGAAACATAATCAATACAGAAAAATTCTCCAAAAGTCTAAACTCCAAAGCTCCAAACCGCAGAACGGAAAAATTACATCACTCAATCTAACCGAGTTCTTTTTCCATTCCTGTTCTCCATGTCTTCATCATCTAGATTCTCCCAAACCATGTCTTGTAGTCGTGAACTTGAGAAATACTTGATTCCAGATAAAACTAAATACTACTGAAGAGTAGAAGGTGTATGAAATTGAACATTTTTCACTCAATTTATAGGAGTTAGAATGTACAATTGATGAGTTGGATCAAAAAACGAAGAGGTTGGTTCGAAATCCACACTCCTGTAGAAACGTTCGAAAACTAAGACACTGTTAGAAACTTTTGGAATCCGCACGCTGAAAGGAAACAACAAGTCATGGTTCCAAAGAGGTTCGCTGGGAAAATCGCTTGGGGATCGAACTGAAAATCGATTACGTTCTGTTGATTTAGGAAGAGAAGCGTTTTGTATTACACATTTTCAGATCATACATCATGTCTCCCATATATACAGGGAAGTAAATGATACATTAAAGGACAAAAGAAAACTGAAAGTCATAAAGGAAAATGAAAAGTTAAGTTGCTGGAATTCTGGAAAGTCTGGAATATAAAAAGGCATATGCTTTAAATGCTATTTCCAACACTCCCCCTCAAGCTGGAGCATATATATCATGGGCTCCAAGCTTGCTACATATACAATCTATTCTTGGTCTTCTAAGAGACTTAGTGAGCACATCTGCCAATTGATCCTTTGAATTCACAAAAGTAGTGATGATGTCTCCAGGTCTGATCTTGTCTCTAACGAAATGACAGTCTACTTCTATATGTTTGGTTCTTTCATGAAAAACTGGATTCGTTGCAATGTGTAGGGTTGCTTGGTTATCACATATCAACCTCATGGGTCTGAATTTGCAGAAATTGAGTTCGGAAAGAAGATTCATTTCATTTTCATTTTCATTTACCCCAGTGCCACAAAGGCTCCCACCTACGGTGGGGTAAGGGGGGGTCGGATGTACGCAGTCTTACCCCTGTACTAAAGCACAGAGAGACTGTTTCCGGATGACCCATAGTGAAAATCCCGTCCAAAATTGCATAGACTGACTGTTGCTTCATAACAAAGAAGCACAGACATTTTAGTGAGTCATTTTGCTTTATTCCATCATAATCTCAAGCCAAAAAATAATGAATCTTTGGTTCCATTGCAAATGATGGAAAATTCGGAAAGAAGATTCTTAACCCAAATTAGCTCACATGATCCAAGAGCCATCGCACGATATTCGGCTTCTGCACTTGATCGTCCCACCACTTCTTGTTTCTTACTCTTCCAAGAAATCAAGTTTCCACCCAAAAGTATACAATAACCTGTGGTGGATCTTCGATCCCATGGGCACCCAGCCCAATCTGCGTCAGTATAGCCCGCAATTTCTGTGTGTCCGTGATTCTGGAATAACAACCCTGTACCTGGTGCTTGTTTAATTTATCTTAAGATGCGAGTAACAACATTCCAGTGGCTCTCACACGGTGATTGTAAAAACTGACTTGCAACACTTACGGCAAATGAGATGTCAGGACGTGTAATAGTGAGGTAAAGAAGTTTTCCAACAAGTCTTCTATATCTACCAGGATTTGATAAAGGCTCCCCTGTCCCGGTAGAAGCTTGTCATTAGGATCCATCGGCGTATCAATTGGCTTACAGTTTGTCATACCAGCTTCTTCAAGAATGTCTAAAGCATACTTTCTTTGTGATATGTACACACCTTGTTTTGACTGTGCAACTTCAATACCTAGAAAGTATCTCAATTTGCCGAGATCTTTTGTTTCAAAATGCTGAAATAAATGCTTCTTAAGAAGTTTTATTCCCTCTACGTCATCACCCGTGATTACAATATCATCCACGTAAACCACAAGATAGATATTAAGACCTTTTTGGATTCTTTAAAATACAGAATGGTCAACTTTAGTTTGAATCATGTTAAATTTTTGTACTACTTCACTGAACCGTCCAAACCAATCACGTGGGGACTGCTTCAACCCATACAATGAGCGTTTGAGGTGGCAAACTAGATCAGCTCCCCCAGAAGCAATGAATCCCGGAGGTTGTTCCATATAAACCTCCTCCTTTAGATTTCCATGCAGGAATGCATTTTTTATATCCAATTGATGTAACGGCCACTGTCGTATTGCTGAAATAGCCAGTAAAGTGCGAACTGATGCTATTTTTGCAACAGGGGAGGGGAGAATGTATCAGTATAGTCGATTCCAAACACTTGTGTGTATCCTTTGGCTACAAGCCTGGCTTTTAGCCGGTCTATCATTCCATTAGGACCAACCTTGACTGTGTATAACCATCTGCAGCCGACCAGAAGTTTATTTGGTGGTAGAGGCACAAGTTCCCATGTCCCTGACGAGTGAAGGGCTTCCATTTCATCAAGCATGGCCTTTTTCTAACCTGGATGACTCAATGCTTCATTGACACTTTTAGGAACAGAAACAGAAGAGAGACGTGTAATAAAGGCACAATATGATGGTGACAAATGATTGTATGAGAGGAAGTTATATATAGGATAAGGATTTCGAGTGGATCTTTTACCAATTCTGCTGGCAATAGGAAGATCATTAGTTATCTCTTGGGTTGACTCTTGAGGTGACGATGGCTCAGCACATAAATCACTTGGATTACTATCTTCTTTTTCTGTTGGATGATGGTAAGGCTTACTAGAATGATGTCGATGGTGATAGGTATAAGGGAACTCAATAATATGGTTCTTTGGAATGTCACTGGGAGTTCCTTTTTCAGGGATGGCCGGGGACGTAGGTTCAGGTTCAGGAAAGTATGGGACAGGCAGAACGGGTTCATGTTCTTTGAAAGGCTGCATAGGGACAATTTCTGTAGACTCATTACTAAAGTTTGATTCGTCAAGGGAAGAAGAATGAGAGAAATATGGAGTAGACTCAAAGAAAGTGACATCAAAAGATGTATACACACGCTTTGACGTAGGACAGTAACATCGAAAGCCCTTTTGAAGACGAGAGTATCCCAAGAACACACACTTGATAGATTTAGGGGAGTTTATCCCTTCCCGTAGTGATATCACGAACAAAGCAAGTGCACCCAAACACCTTTAAAGGTAATTTGTGCAAAGATTCATCAGGGAACAAAACATTGTAAGGAGTCTTTCCTTGTAGTATATTAGAAGGCACGTGGTTTATGAGATAACAAGAGTGAAGAATGGCTTCCCCCAAAAGGTATTTAGGTACCTTGTAATGAATAAGCATGGTTCGGGCAGTTTCCACTAGGTGTCGATTCTTCCGTTCAGCCACTCCATTTTGTTGAGGAGTGTCTGGACAGGAAGATTCATGAAGGACCCCATGACTATCCAGAAAATTAGAGAAGGATTCGGAAAAATACTCCTTGGCATTGTCACTACGAATGGTTTTTATCACCACCCTAAACTGAGTTTTTATTTCATTGACAAATTTTTGAGATATACTGAAAAGTTCAGACCGATCTTTCATTAAATAGATCCAAGTACAACGAGAAAAGTCATCAATAAATGTAACAAAGCACTGAAATCCAAAGATAGACTTAACTCGACTCGGTCCCCATACATCAGTATGAATTAGAGAAAAGGGAGTAACTGCTCGTTTATTTATCCTATTTCTGTAGGAAGCTTTAGATTGCTTTCCTAACTGACATGACTCACACTCGATTGATGAAACATTAGACATTATAGGAACAAGTTGACGAAGCTTATTTAGGCTAGGATGACCAAATCGACTATGAAGAAGCAATGGTGTAGAAGTGGTGGCAGTGCAAACAATATTGTTGTTGGCTAGATGATATAACCCTTGTGATTCATATCCTGCGCCAATCGTCTTCCTCAATTGTCGGTCCTGCACAGTCACAGATTTAGTGGAAAATATAATTATTTCACAATTAAGATGTGAAGTGAGTTTATGGACATAGATCAAGTTGAAGGGGCAATTAGGAATATACAATATAGAGGATAATGAGAGAGAAGGGAGTGGAGAGGCATTTCCAATTCCTATAGCTTTACCTATTGACCCATCACCAAAGGTAACAGATGGAAGAGAATTGGAAAATGTCAAGCATGTAAAAAGTGAAGGATTACCAGAAATGTGATCGGTAGCACCTGAGTCAAAAATCCAAACAGGATTGGATTGAGAGGCCAAGGAAACATGAGTTTTGTCAGGTGTAATTGAGGTTCGAGCAGCCTTTAACTGCTGGAATTCTTCATACTCAGACTGTGAGAGAACATGGGAAAATTTAGCTTCCTTATTGACTTCAGCTACATTGACCGTGCTTGGTTTCCCATGTAGGTTCCAACATTGATCACGTGTGTGTCCTGGCTTGTTGTAATAATCACAAAAACGTTGCATACCTTTGCCACAGCCTCCTCCTCTTCCGTGAAGATTGTCTCTTCCTCTACCTTGACCACCCTGAGAGTGAGAAACAAAAGCAGAGTTATTAGCATTGTTGTCTTCTGTGACTGAGGTCCCTCGAAGTAGCTGAGTAAAAACTTCAGTAATGTTCGGAACATTTTTCTCGCTCAAGATCTGGCGTCGAACCTCTTCAAAACTTGCTCCTAGTTTGGAGTGTCAAGACTACCCAAAATTTTTCCCTTTGAGCTTGCTGTCTTTCAATGGATTCTTCCATTGGCATAAGTGTATTAAATTCTGTCATTAAGCCTTGAACTTTCCCTAAGAAAGTTTCCATTGACATCCCAGATTTTGTTATTTTTAAAATTTCATCAACAACTGAATAAAAGCGAGATATGTCATTTGTATAGAGAGACTTGGCTTGCTTCTAGACAGAAATACACGTCCTGAAAGGGCGGAACATTGGAACGATTTCTGGTGAGAGAGACTGCCATAAGATGCTGCAAAGTTGGGCATCAACGCGTTTCCAGACTTCTCTTTGATACTCAATTGAATCAGCTTCTGTGACCAAATGGTCATCCATTTGTGATAATTTTGATAATTTTGTGATCCAATAAGTTTATTATTGGTAATAGTAGGGTTTCCAGAAAGATTTGGGACTTAAACGGGAACAGGAGTTTCTTCACTACTGCTTGTTACGACCATGATGAAAAAATTAAAATCACTGAAATTATTCACCGCCGGAATTCGCTGGAGAGGGATGAACACCTTGAAGATTGATTCACCAGAAAATATGCTCAAAGTCCCCTCCACGTGCAGAAGGAATTTCAGACCATACCCAGGGCTTTGATACCATGTTGATTTAGGAAGAGAAGCTTTTTGTATTACACATTTTCAGATCATACATCATGACTCCCATATATATAGGGAAGTAAATGATACATTAAAGGACAAAAGAAAACTGAAAGTCATAAAGGAAAAATGAAAAGTTAAGCTGCTGGAAAGTCTGGAATATAAAAAGGCATATGCTTTAAATGCTATTTCCAACACGTTCAAAATGAAAAACGATTGAGATCATGGCCAGTTTAGCGATCTATGTGACTATGTCTTATATATCTGATAATCACGATACTGCATACTATGCTGTAGCCTTCATTTTACTTTTGAGAAGGATGTTGGTTTATATTATGTGCTGGTTTTGTTGGTGAGATGAAAGTCAGGATGAAACCATGCATTCAAACTTTGGCTCATCAGGGTTATGGTCTCTGAAATCCTTGCTTGGGGCTTGCTTGACTAAGTAGTGTTGACTTTCTTAACGTCTCCTCTATCCTTTTATCCCTTTATTTTCTTTGTGTGAAGAGGAGGGAGGGGCTTTGTGTCTTTTGATCAGTAGTTTAGATCAATTTACAAATTGACTATGGTTTTATTAAATTTAAGTTTAGCAAACTCTGGTCCATTCCAAGATATTTCCACTTGGTAGATAAAGATGAAGCAGCAGATGAAAACAGTATAGTTTTTCTTGAAGAATATCTGATTCAGTTGGGACCTTTCAATATCTTTTGTCCTTTCAGGGGTAAAAAATTTGCGTGTACTCCCTGGCTGGGTTGTTGTTTTTACTCTATTTCATATTTTGACCTATGAACAAACATAGCATTTGTGTATGGACACTTAGACAGTATAGTTGCATCCACTCAGAGTAGATGGAAATCAGGAAGAAATCTGTAGCTACTGTAAAAGATTTCCCACAAGTCTGCTCGAAAGGAACTTCTTTTTTCATGATTAGTTAGCACTCAATTACTCAGAGTTGGATCATTCTTGTAATGTTGGGTAAATGTCATTTCCACAGGTCCTATTTATAAGGCATATTAGGGTGGTCTTAAATTTAATCTTAATCACGTAGAGATCGTTCTTGTAATATTGGGTAAATGTTATTTCTACAAGTCTTATTTATAAGGCATATTAGGGTGGTCTTAATTTCCATCATGTCCAATGGAGCCAAAGACTCGCTATTTTTTATCTTGGAAATACGATGGAATAAAGCAAATGACTCACTAAATTGCATGCGCTTTTTTGTTATGAAGCAACAGTCAGCCCATGCAATTTTCGACGTGTTTTTACCATGGGTCATCAGGAAACAGTCTCTCTACACGGGTAAGCTGTGTACATCCGACCCCCCTTGCCCCCACCGTAGGTGGGAGCCTTTGCGGCACTGGGGAAATGATGACGACGACGATGATGGGGTGGTCTTAAACACGAGTAGCTTTGTATATCAATGTCCCATTTAAGCTTTTCCTTCCACAATTTCCCCTCTTCGAAAGGCTCTTCACAGAACTGACAGACGTGTTTTAGCCTTTTAGGCTTACTAGAAAAGGGTAAACTTATATTAAATGCTTCTGATTATATCCTTGGACTATGTGAAAGCCAAAATCGTGCCTTCTAATAAGGACGAAGGGATTAATAGACATAATAGTTTTTTACATTTTTTTCTTCAAGTAATATGTGACCTAGTTTGCTTTTGTGTGTTGTACAGGATCGGAAGCAAGCTAGGTAAGATGGAAGCGGTAATTGCAAAGGCAAAAGGTTTCTCTGTGGAATGTAGTAACGTTGACAAGAAATTTAGACAACTAGTTGATCTAACAGAGGATGAAGCTAATTTCCATGCAAAACAGAGTGCTTTCCTCTACCAACTGGCAGTCCAAACAATGCCAAAAAGTTTCCATTGCCTGTCAATGCGACTTACTGTGGACTATTTTAGATCTTCTCCGATCGATGAGGAACAGTCAGTGGCTGAGAGATACCTGAATCCAGATTTGCATCATTATGTTATATTCTCCAAGAATGTACTCGCATCGTCTGCAGTTGTGAACTCTACAGTTTTGCATGCTAAAGTATGCTTTTGTTCTCATCATTTTCTGGCACTCCATTATCTATTTTATGCTACTGACAAATTTTCAGCTGTTTCATTTGTATATATGTCCAGGAAAGTGAGACTCAAGTATTTCATGTGTTGACAGACAGGGAGAATTACTTTTCCATGAAATTGTGGTTTTTTGAAAACAAATATAAGGAAGCAACCGTCCAAGTCTTAAACATTGAGGACCTTAATTTGGACAATGATGATAATAAGGTATTTCCAACACAATTCTTGCTGCCTGAGGAATACCGTATTTTCATCCATAAGGTTGATGAACCATCCATGACCCAAATGAGGACAGAGTATATATCTGTGTTTTCACATTCCCACTATCTCCTTCCAAAGATTTTTTATTCATTGAAGAAAGTAGTGGTTTTGGATGATGACATAATTGTCCAAAGAGACTTGACAGACTTGTGGAGCATCAATTTGGATGGGAAAGTGAATGGTGCTGTACAGTTTTGCTCGATCAAACTGGTTGAGTTGAAGAATTTTTTGGTTGACAAGATTTTGGATGAAAAATCTTGTGCTTGGGTGTCAGGATTAAATATCATTGATCTAGTTAGATGGAGGGAACAAGACCTTTCCGGGAAGTTCCAACGACATTTGCAAGAGGTCAGTTTCCATATGTTCCTGCAATTAAACCCATCACATATATGCTTATCTATCACCGATGCACTCTTAAAACATTGATCCTTGTTCCTTTTCTACATTGGAATGAAACACAACAAAAACTCAGTTTTATCAGTTGCTAACTCAGAATTTCATCTAAAAATAATGACACAATAATGATTTTAGGTACTCTGAATACTTCCGGGGAATGTAGCCATGTAGTACTTCTGTTTACTTACATTTTAGTTTTCCTAGGTTCAATAAGCATTTGTTTGGTTCTGGGTAGAAACAAAGAGAGAAATGGATGAATAAGAGATGGATGAGAAAAATAGAGTAGATTATGTGTTGTTTTGTAGGGGAGCGATATGGAAAATAAATCGGTAGAATTTGGGACCTTGGGTAACCCATCCGTTTCTCTTATCACTGGACAAGAGAAATTCTCTCCTATATTTAGTTACCCTCTATTTCCTTTTCTGATATTTCTCCTTACGCAAACAAAAGCTAACTTTTATAGTCTGGTTTTTAATCGAACTCTTAGACGTTCATTACAAAACACTTTAATTTTTCCCCTTTTGAATAAAAATGGTGACGGTTTCACATCACATTTTCAGCAACCGAGTAGAAAAGAGGGGATGACCTTGCGTGCCACGTTCCTTACCTTTCAAGATGAGATATATGGCCTTGATGAGAAGTGGGTTTTGTCGGGGTTGGGGCATGAATATGGTCTGCCCACAGAGATTATAAAGAACGCAGGAGTTTTGCATTTCAATGGGAACATGAAACCTTGGCTTGATCTGGGTATCCGTGATTATAAAGATTTATGGAGCAAGTATATGAACAAGGAAAACCATTTGCTAAGAGATTGCAATGTGAATTGAGTAGTGTCATTAATAGACCACACATTCTCTTCTGCTTGTGAAGGAAGAGTGAGTGTATGGGAACAAAGACCACACACAAGTTTCTGCTCCCAAACTCAAGGTAAAACTTACAGGCAAATATATTTTAGTCTGCCCTGATGAGTTTGGTGTTTCAATTCTTTGGTTAATAAAGGAGAGACGGGTTTTTTGTATCAAGTCCCCCTCTTGGCAAGGCCCGTGACTAGTAGAAGCTTTCTTTGATGAATGGTTATTATAGCAAAGAAGCGCCTAGCGGGAAGCAAAACATCTCTGGATGGCACACAATAGTTGAACAGAAATGTTTTGTTTGATGTCTGGGAAATCATATTCTCTTGTTATTTCATAGGGAGTGATATATCATCAAGGCAAAGTCCGGTTTTAATTTCAAATTTTCAATAGAGCAGAATTTGCATAGTTTAACTCCTCATATTTGGTGTTCCATTACCCCTTTTCTGTGAGGGTACAAATTATTGTAAACTCATAGTTATTCTTTTTGTATTCCTTGTAGTGTTTTTAAAGTAGGTTTTGAGAAGTTGAAGTTCCATTTTCATTCTAACTATCACAGTTACGAACCAATTTTTAAGCAGCTGTGTATATGTATTGTTACCGTATTTTTGTGTGTAGTGTTGATGTGTGTAGACGTGCAGTTATAAGCCCCGAATCATGCAATTGTGCAATGTTCATGATCAGCATTCGGCAGTGATCATGCTCTTTAAATGAATATTTGTAATTTATTAATGAAGTAATGCCGTTTGAAGATTTTAAATCAAAATTGATCTGACCATATATGACAGCCTTCTTTGGTACTTTGGCAGAAAAAAAAATAACATTCTTAAAACTTTACCCCAATCTGGATAAAATGATTACAATTTACAAAAAAATACAAGTGACTGCACGGCGCACAGGCAACACAGAAATGGATGGGACTATGGGAGTGGTTTTACAAGTATGAAGTTTCACTATGCAACTATGTGACAACAAAAGTTGGGGAAATGACCAAGTATTAGTAAACAGTTCACAGCGAACCGCTTTCATCCTTCTACTCCTTGTGATGGATCAGGCACAGCCAGCGGCTCAGCAACCGGAGGAATACAGTCCACCTTGTAACGCAGGACCTACTCCCCATGCAAACAACATAAACTTAAATTAATATGAACACAATGTGTATATGATGCATTGTTGGAATTATGCATTGTTTTAGATATCCCCACACCTATTAAGCTATATACTCCTGATTAGATATTTGAGTTTCTACCCCATTAAGACTTGTCATTCCAGAGGTTTTTCCAGAAATATATTCAAGGACAAAAATATAATTAAATGGTCAATGTCAAAAGCATAGCCACTTCAGTTCAAATATAGTCACTATGCATTTAAGGGTCAGATTTTTGTCCATTTTTAGTAATTTAATTGTCTATTTGTCAATTTACTTCTTGTTTTATTACCAACCGATGGGACAAATGCTTCTATTTCCAAACTTATGTTTTTTGTTATTACGTCTGTTCTCTCAAGAGGTGATGTTAGGAATAGATATTAAATGGGCCTATTATTAGAATTAATAATAAGTGGGCCTATTATTGTAAATAATAATAAGTGGGCTTGTACTATAAATAGAATGGGGAGGGTAGGCAAATAGGCAGGCAAGTATTTGGGACTTGGATAGGCTAGGAGACTGGGCATCTCGAATTGTCCGTTGTATTCATTCCGTAAACACATCGTTCATCAATAAACATTTTCTTCATCTCTTGATCAATTTCTTAGAGATTCTTTACAATTCTGAGTCAGAATTATCGGGTTCTATCATTGGTATCAGAGATTCTTTACAATTCTGAGCATTAAGCTCTGATACCAATGATAGAACCCGATAATTCTGACTCAGAATTGTAAAGAATCTCTAAGAAATTGATCAAGAAGAGATGAAGAAAATGTTTATTGATGAACGATGTGTTTACGGAATGAATACAACGGACAATTCGAGATGCCCAGTCTCCTAGCCTATCCAAGTCCCAAATACTTGCCTGCCTATTTGCCTACCCTCCCCATTCTATTTATAGTACAAGCCCACTTATTATTATTTACAATAATAGGCCCACTTATTATTAATTCTAATAATAGGCCCATTTAATATCTATTCCTAACAGGTGAAAACGGAAACAGAAAACAAAAATGTTACCAACTGATGCCTTTACAAAGTACAAATTCCTATTGCCAGGGAAGGGGATGCAGTATTTCAAGTACCTTACTGAAGAACGAAGAGTAAGAATTATCCCATATGAGCTTGTAATTTCCAGGCATGCATGTGCAGAAGTTACCCTGTAATAAGGAGTTGTGAGAACACTGAACTTATGACAAAAAAACTGAAATGTATTTTCATGCCAAACTTACTTGGTCAGATTCATAGCGTCTGTAAGGTAAGATTGGCTGTATAACAAGGGCAAAGAATGCAAAAAATGAGGCACAGGTTGCTTTTTAAGGAAACTATTCTGATAATAAAACAAAAAAAGTATAGCAGTTGTATATACCCTTTTCTGTCCTGAAATATCTTCACACTCCATGCTAAAACCAATATCCTATTGGACAAAACGATGAAAGCCTATATAAATAATAAATTAAGAACACCGTTGTGGCGTTGTGATAATTGACATTATGCTGTTGGTATAGCATAGCATCCACATACCTCAAGTCCTCAACCATCACAAATTAAAAGTTTATCAAATTATGGTGAAAAAAGGAAATAAAATAAATGTAAAGTTGTTATTTTGGTACCAAATTCATTCTTCCTTGAACCAAAGAGAAATCCCAAGCAATATATGAATTTATATCTTCAACCTTTAACCAAACCTGAAAGATTAAGCTGTTAATCGGCTCCTATACCCAGATAAAGAAAAAGGCAGTAACAAGTCATCCAGCAGAATGAAAACATTACTACAATTCATGGGATACTAAAGCTTTTTTTTTAACAGATTAATAAAAATGAAACTAACCTCATGAGTTTTCCCTGCTGGAACACTTGTTTCCTGGTACTCCTCGTCTTTACTGTAACCAACAGTTAATTTTTATAAGCAAGCACGACAAATTCCTATTTTTAACATTGATTCCAATGCTTAACGCCATAACAGTTCAGAGAATAACTTAAAAGAAAACACACACACACCTAGCTTCTGATGCACCAGAATCCTCAGCAGTAATAAAAAATGGAGAGTTTGTAAACACCTCACTGACAAAAATATGGAAAAGAATTAATGAACAGAAATGGAAAGAGATGTAGGCTAAAGACTAAGAATTCAAACTGACGGTTATGTACCAATTTGTCAAAGTAGATAAATGACATAAGAGTGTGTCACAGCAAGCTCTAAAATGGTGGAAAGATACAAAAACAACAACATCCAAGCCTTATTCCCAAAAGATTTAAATGGCGGAAAGGTATGAAAAGAAAAAACCAGAACATGTTTACTAACAAGTAAGTTCTCCAGGTTTCTGAAAAATGGGAAGCAAGTTTGCTTTTCCTGATTTTCAAATTCCGAAAATGGAAAACTTTCTACTGTTTACAGCGTTTATTCAAAATTTGGAGAACTTTTTTTTTAGTTCACCAAATAGGAAACGGGAAAAAATGCAGTCAACACATCACCAGCCACTAACTTGAAAACATATTTTTTATGAATATGTTTATGTTGGTGATGGACAAAGCTGAGGTAGTAGGTGACAAAGTGATAATTATGCATTCGTATTAACGCCTTCAATTCTGAAGTGGTGGAAAGTGCGTTAAAAAATAACGATCTATAGACATGCCTGGAGAACAATAAGCAAAGTACATAGTAAGAGATACATAAACCTTTAAATCCATTAAGTCATTAACAGACAAAATTTCAAAAAGGTACCCGATAAATTTGATGAATCTTTCAAATTCAGATGTATAGACATCCACGGCTTTCTCAAAAATATATATATTATTCCAATGCCTGCTCAAATAATAAGAATATAAAATCTTAGGGCACCGCCACAAATTTACAATCACATTATAAGGGAATTAGATGCATAATAAGTGTAACACTACTATAGAACAACACATAGAACTTAAAGTCTTAATAAATCTCACGGGTTTCCTGCTTCAAAGTGCTTCCACAGAAGAGATAGAAGAAGTCGAATATTAAGCACCATTTTGGTAAGGCTGTACAGAGGTGGACCATAACGACTTCGCTGTTCTTCCATGGGCCTATTATTAAAATAATCAAAATACACAGAGAAGAAATGCTATCAGGTCTGTTGAACACTTGCATATGGCCAAAGCAATTGAAACAGATCTTCACGAAATAAGGTCAAAGGTAACTAAAATTTAATGAAAATAAATACCCTTCATCATCATTTATCCGCCGAACGAAGTCCAATAACACCTGCACCATGATACCATATTATAACGTAAATACCTAAAACTTAAGGTTGTAGAGAACAGATCATACAGAATAAACATTAGTAGGAGTAAATACATAGCATGGAGACCTTCACACAGGAAATAACAAAACATATGTCAGATTATACTCTTTGTTTTGCTTTCATAACACAATGAATTTCAATAAGCAAAACTATTGCATGAAAAACAGCATGCTGTGTACGAGAAAATCAAGATGAATAAGTTCAATAGGAAATCGAAATCAAGAATTAGGCTCTATCCAGTAAATTTAACCTACTTGTGGCACTCCTACTAAGTACTTCACCAGGGTCTTATAAACACCCGTTGCCGAACCAAGCTGAGCTAACTGTGTCCGTCTAGAAGAAAATAATTCCATGAGTAGTTAGACCAAACCATATGTGCTGTAAAAATGACACTTAAATGAAGCAATGTTTACCTTTCCATCTGTTGCTTCCACAACAATGCATACCGTTCGTGAATACTTCCACCAGAGTTAACTAAAGCATCAACTGCAGCTTTTTTATTTCTCTCAGAGCGCTCTTTCTGTTGTCTAATTAGTGTACCTCGGAAGTCTTGAGGAAGGTAAGTCATGACTGCAGATTTAACCAGTGTAAGTGCCAAACTAACCTCGAATGTACGTAAGCTGATTTTTGGTGCCTCCTATACTCACTTGCATGAGTAACTTGATTGGAAGTTTTATTTATTCATAGGACAGGATTGCTTTTTTAGAAGGATTATATCACCAATTGGTCTGTGTGTTCAGGAGAGCTAACCAGGAAAGTTTTCAGCGATTAAGGGCTTAAGGCCATGCTATTAGGCCTCAATTGAAGAAACATACCATTTGATTTATAAAGTATGCTTTACATAATATGTAAGTCTACACACGTAAGTCTGTAATATCTTTCTTTGCACAAAATATCGTAAATACTTGATTTATAAACACATCTTGGCATACAACTAATGATAAATATAATCGATAAGCTGTTTGGACACTTAAACTGATTCCTAACAAAAATGATACACGCCATCTACATGTACCATGATATACATGCCATACACAATCCAAACAAATGTTTTTACATCAAAGATCGAGTGACTGACCTGTGTTGAATACATGTTCAGAATTCTTAGCTTGGAAAGTTTCCAATAGTTTAAGAGTAATTTCAAGTTTTCCTTTTAATCGTGAGAGGACACATCCAAG